ATTTTTACATTTTAGTTACTTTTATAATTAGACATAAAGAATAAACATGAAAAACAAGAAATAAAGTACTTAACCAATTCTCTTTTTCTTGCTGTTGTTTGTTGAACAGAATTAACCCTAATTTTTTATACTAATGATAGTAATGCACTTAATAATTTTTATCTAATTAAATAATGCACCAAAGAATATAGACTAATAACTGGCAAAACGTAGACAAATTCCCTTACCTCTCAAAATTTTCTGGCTTTCTAACTACGTGACAAGAGTTGTTACAAGTTCATCCAAGCTAGTCTTTAACTTTCTCATGGGAACAATGTTGGTATTCTGAGTGAAAATGACACTTAACCTTTCAGAACATATTGTTATACAATGCGTTATTTGATAGATGAAAACCTTGACTTTCTATTGGTTATAGGTAAGATATAAAATTAAATGTAAGAGAGAACTATCAACGAATTGTGAAAGAAAGGATGAGACAGGTGGGTGTGGCAAGAGGGGTCTGATTTTCTATTCAATAGCTCTGTAATCAAACAAAACTGACACTTATAAAAATAACTGTTTGTCTGAGCAATGACGATTTTATAGAGATTAATTTACCTTTAATTTCATACTTTTCAGTGGGGTGGTGATAAAATAGGGAAGATGACATGCTGAGAGAAAATGTGTCACGTGGGTCACACTAGGGGAAATTCAGGATTTTTTTATATTGCCTTGTAGAATTAAGAACTTAAAACTTATTTATTATTAAAATACGGATTATTAGCTAAGTTTTATGCTATTCTAATTAGCATAACATAAACAAAAAGTAGTTTAAAAAAATTTTGAATGTAAGACACTAAAACTTTGTGTCATGTGCAGTAAAGGATACTTGTGATGATAGGGTTAATGGAGTATGGACCAGTATAAAGTGCATTCATCTTGACTCTATTGAACAGACATTGACTGCAGAAGGAAAACATACCAGATACGTATATGTAACAGGCATTATAAGGTGAGTGCTTACCTCTTCTGAACAGTTTCTAATCTGCAGGAGGAGGGTATCATATTATGTAGTATTGGTCCATATGTAATATGTGCACATCTTAACTCCACTGAACAGGCACAGGCTCCAGGAGAAGGATACAACTGGCATGAGTGACATATATGATGGGTGACCTACACTACACTAACAGGGTCACCACTGCCCCACTTATTACTGTATTGGTACTCCTTTTCAATTGTCCCCACAACTGAATTCAAGCAGTGAGGTTTCTCCATGGTCCACCACTCCAGCAGCTAGGAACTGGTAAGTGGCAAGGGTCTTCTATACTCCAATCAATGATGGAGAGGGGGGGATTCATGTAAGGAAGACCCAGAGACCCATCAGGAGATAAAACAGCTAGAAGGTGTATAGGAAGAGATGAAAATGTGGAGAGTGACCACCTAGAGGATCTCATCCTAGGGCTAATGATGAAGAGATATAAGAAAATGAAAAGGTGATAAATGAAATGTGAAATAGTCTGCAAGCATCCACATCCCGAGACAAACATACCACCAACTGGATGCATCAAAGAACCCATACCGGAAGTGTAAAAGAAGAGAGGCCCTTGGAAAAAGAGTAATCCCAAGGTAGGAACAAACAAAGACATGGATCCTGAACTCAGGTGAGAAAATCAAATATCCACACAATGCTAAGGAGAAGACTGAAGTCCAAGAGTGCAAGTGCAAAGGGTGAGTTATTGTGCATGGAGGTATGTTGCCCTGCTATTGGTGGAGAAATTTTGTCACAGGATAACATCATCATGCAGTACTGCAATTCATATAAAATCATGTGAAATTAGGAGGGAGTTCCCTCAAGGCTAGTGGAATGTAAATCTATCTTTGGTAGACACGTGAGGAAAATAGCTAAACTATGTACAGAGGTGAAGTATCATCTCAGAATACAAATATTAATACTATTACCTATAAAAAACAAAAACCATTTGATGTAAATTTCATTTCAAAGTAAATTTTACCTACAAAATCATGTTAAATATTTAATCCTTTCCTAAATAGACCTGAAACTATTATATTACTCTATGACAAGCTTGTTACCTTTCTCTAGCTTTAGGCCAGTCCTCTACTGGATTACTATTATGATAAGTTTATTGAATTCCTCTAGCTTTAAATTAGCCCTTAGCAACTTTTTTGCTACGACAGGTTTGTTGTAGTCTTTAGTCAGATATTAGTACATTACCACAACAACAGATTTGTTGTTTGTTTGTAACTTTTATATTAGTTCCTAACTCTGAATGGATGATATTTTTTACTTCTTTCCATTTTTGTAGGAAAACATAAAACCTGACTAGAGAAAATGACACAACTACAGCTATACTTGTATTCTATATTTATGGCAAAGCTACTAAGGCTATCTGCTGCAATCCCTAATTTTTGAACTACTGACCAGAAGGAAGACAGCACCCTACCATCCACATTAAATGACCGACTATCACTAGGAGCAAATATTTGGTAATCAGCTACAAATATAATGATAATGACCAAAAGTAAAACCTACCTAAATACAAAAAAAGTGGACACAAAATAAAAGTACTTACAAATGTATTCCTTCATTCCAGGATCCAGTGTGGTAATCATGGAGTCAACTGAATTCTGTCAAACACACCAGTAAACCAAAGTTTAATAGTTTTAAATATCAAATTTTCTAAGTATTATGTTTCCATGGTAATGAAAATGTGGAGAACATTTCACTAACAAATTTACAAAAGACATAACAAAAAAAACTGATTATATTTATCAAGATTCACATTTATGAAGGTATAATTTAAGCTTTGCCTGCTTCAACAACATATTCAAATAAATTAAATAATGTACAGATAGAAAGAACACTAGGATCTCCCCATCTATTTAAGCCCTTACAAGAGATTGGACAGAATACAGCAAATATGTATTCCTAATAGCTACTTGCCATAAAAAATTAAAGATCTTCAGAAAGAGAGTGAAAATTAAATTAAAATCTAATTCATGTATAACTAAATGTACAGGTAAATGTAGATAAGCAACATTCAATGTAGATGTTATTTCGTTATTCACATAGAGACACAATGATAGATACAACACAAGTTCACCAAAAAAATATCACCAATTCCTTCAATAGTTATCAAAAAAGCTCAAACTCATTCAGGGAGCAGAAGTGCTACTCTTAAACAACTGAGCCTGAAAAAAAAAAGGTCACAAGGGCAAACTAAAAGACTCCACAAAGATCCCAAATTCCAGATTGCACTCAAGGTTAAGGATCATTTATTACCAGATTCATTTATAAAAGATCCTTCTATGTCTGATAACCAAAAGTCCCAAAGACTTCCCATGTGAAAAGGATTATCCTAAAGTGTAAAACCATCCTTTGTCCTCTTGACAGTGACATCTCCACAGAGAAAGATAAATAAGAAATTTATGGATTGGTATCTGAAACGGTTTTCAAATCCTCACCAAATATGCATTGAAAATGTTCAAACAAAAAATAATAATAATAATAACTATAAGACATATAACCTACAATGATTGAAAAATAAAAACCCTAGAAAAGATTCATAAAAGAAATAAGATAACACATTTTCTTAGAATATGGCATCTTCATATAAATCATGAAAGATGGAATTCAGTTAAGAAATAAGGAATAAAAAAAACCTGATCCATTCATGAACAAAAAACAATTCAAAAATATAATTAAATTTTAGTGAAGAAAAACATGAGTTTAAACCAGGAATCTTATTTTTACAGTCCAGAATTTATGTTTAAACTTCAACAAAACACACACATACACATAAAAAAATGATCTACATAGTTTGATAAAAATAAGGATTTAACTAGTGTTCTTGGAGTGATTAACAAAAAGATGGACCAAACAACTTTGAGAAAGTTGTGTGGAAAATACTACATACATGGAAGTAACACCTAAAATGCACATACAAAACATACAACAGCCACTAAAATATATAAAATACAAATTAGATGGTAATCATTTTGTGAATATGACAGAGCATAGGTGACTTGAAAAGTCAGAATGTAACTTAAAATATAAAGTTTTGTTAAGGTTTTGTTCAGAGCTTATTAAAAGAAAGGTTTTTAATTGGTCAACAAATACTTGTTTTTCCTGAAGTTAGAAAATTAAAATGTTGAAAAAAAAATATCATCATGAGACAAACCTTAGCTTTCTCAGCAACTTTATTCAGTAATTCATGACTTTTCAACCATCCCCACACCCCACCTCCTTGACTCTGGTCTACCTCAGGCAGAGGAGGCTGAGCAGTGTTATCCAGAGGAAGATTGATAGTAGCACTTTGTGTTGATACCATGGGAACAGGCTGCATTGGCTGTGGCATCATCTGCACTGGAACAGTACTGGGGCTTGGAATAGAAGAACTGATAAAGAAAAAAATGTTTTAGATTAAGCTAGAATTTTCAATAAACATTTCTCCCAGTGTGCTAGTTTTCAATGTTAACTTTTTTTTGGTAGAAATTGGTATTTTTTGTTTTTTTTCAAAGGAACACCTTTAAAACTAAACGATGCACATTTTCTCTGTGTTACAAAAATATATATCAGAATCTTCTTTTACATGGACATTTCATATGCTTTTGAAAATAATTCATTTTTCATTTGTTTCGATAGAATTACCATATATAAAATTTAAATGATTTTCATTCAACTGAATCTTACAGAACCAGAGTAATTCAAGATGGCTGAAGATACAGTGTACAAAAATAATTTCCAATAACAACAAATGACTGTGACATTAAGTTCATTATATAATTGTTGGCCTTATGAGATTGTTGAGCAACAGGCAAAGCAATATTAAATGAGCTAATCTAATAATGATGTGGTGTCACTATATTATAAACATGTAATTTTTGGAAGTATCTCTTTCTTAATTAGGTTATATTATAAACGAGAAGAGAAATCCATTCTATGCAAATTATTTTGATCATGTTTTCATGTGTAAACATGCATCTCTAATTACTATTTTGAAATGATGTCAAATTAAGAATTTTAAGATACCATTTACAGTTTTTGTTGGCTCAAAAAACTACTGTTTAACTGACCTCAAGCAGCTATTTAATAGTTAGAAACAAGATCACTATAAAGAAAGAAACCTATGATTTAATCAATATGTCACGGAAGTAATTAATGAAGTATTTACCTATTAATTCAAGGGAAAATTAAAACTTACAGACCCCCAATCTTAACTTCTAAAAGCACTACCAAATAGTTGCTCCCCCCCCCACTAGCAAATTTGGGATTGCTACTAACATTATTCTTGTACTATGTCATAATTGATTATTTCATGTATCACATGTTAATAGACAAGTATATATCCTACTTATATGTATAAATCTCTTCTGTCATGTTTTCTTTTCAAATACTTGTGAATATAAAAATTTATTTTAATTACATGCAACATTATTATTATTATTTTAACTATTTCATGAAAGTTAAAGGATTGATGAATTTAGGTCATGAGCACCTGGAGCAACAGTGTATAGTTCCCCACTACTGATAGCAGCCTTTTGTACTAAGAAAAGAATTTCACCATTAAAAAGTACAGTTTAAATACCAAAAGATTAGAAGCTAATAGGTCTAACATCTGTGCTAATAATGAACAAATTAAGAGGAATGTGGCAAAAAATATCTGCAGTTTATGTGATTATTACCTCTATTGAGCTACTACTTGAGCACAGTATTTCTAACCGTACCACCAGCAAAACTGCATTGCAGAAACTAAATGATACCAGTCTAACCAGCTGCCCCATATTCTGAATACTTTGGTAACCAATGAAATGCATCGAAGCTACATTCTTGTTTCCTAATACTTAGCCTGTGTATCTAATGCAACTCAAAATAGAATTACAAAACTAGCATGACACCAGCAAATCACATAATCTTGTTAATGAAATTACTATAAAGTTTTGTACTCACAATCTTGCAATATAAATTCTTGAAATGTATGTATCATGGATGTATTGATACACAACAGTAAGGAACTGTAAATGTTCCTTCTGAAATGTGTAATAGCAATGTTTCTCTAGTGCCTTCTACGTTTTATTAGCAACATTGATAAGCAATATGCTAGTTTGCTTATGTTAACTTTGAGCCCTCACCTCAAATCATAATAATAAAAAACACTTTCCTCTAATACAAAGGGGATTCAAAATATAAAAAAATTAAATGACCATACAAACCACCTTAAAATTGAAAGAATAAAATGTACAAAATAATTGAAAGAAATCAAGAATAGTTTCCTAAGCAACAAACAAGTCAACTCCATCAGGTAAACATAAAAAGTTCAATTAAAAAATTGGAGTTTTTATTTATTGATAGTTTTTTTCATGTTTAATTTATCAAACTGCTCGTTATACATTGTTAAGTGTCCTTATTATATTGAAAAGTAAATGAACACAAATTTTTGTGTAAACACTGAGCAGTTTTTATCAGAAACATGACTGACTGACAACTGGTTTGATGGGTAGTTGCTATTAGTCCAAGTACTATTGTTAAAGGAATCTTTCACATAAATAAGCAACACTAACATTAGTGAAAAAGAAATATTCTTGCCACTTGTATTGCAGCCTTGAAAACAGCTATGAACCCTACTAACTATATTTCTGAAGTTTTTATCACAAAAACAATACAAATCATCAAAAGAATGTTTTACTAATAAAGATGACTTTATGACTCTTGTTACATTGCACATATGCATGAATTGTATATTCAAGAGATACATCAATTTTGAAGCAAGTCCAGAAAATCCTTAACTTGTTCACTGTTCTACTGTCACTCAAGATTATGTATCACAGACAAACACATTACTTGGGCTGAATAAAATTCTCAAAAAAATGAATTTTTGTAAATGTGTTTACTTTAATAAAAATAAGTCCTAAAATATATTTCATTTCTAAATTTTACTTCACCCAAGTACAATATTACATTAGTATTAATTTACTTATTAGTGTTTTTAAATAAAACAAATGTTATACTATGTATAGGTTCACACTATTCTTACTGGAACAACATTTAAGTTTGTTTTTTATATTTCATGAATGTAGTTTTATTTTTTTTAGTTGAATGATTTTTCTAAGCTTCGTTTTATTAAGTGTAGCCTTAAAGCTCAAGTTTTTGTTTTGTCAAACTGTGCATTTTATTGCCAGGTATGAATGATTTATTTTAACTTGGCAAGTAGAGTACAAGCTCTATGAAAATGGAAAATATTTAGATTATAGAATGTATTAACTCCTTCACTGCTCTTCACATTACATGATGTTTTAGTCTTTCCTACCATTTGAAATCCCTGATGCCTATACATAGCAGGAAAATATGTATATTGTGTGAATATTAGACATTTATACAGTAATTTTATTGCTAAGTGTAATATTTGTACAATATAGTCATAATATTATCATTATATATTTAGTGCATGAGATAAGAGACGAGTGCAATACCACATCTGGAAAAATAAAAAAACAAGTCTTGCACACCCTATCATCTTATCTCACAGTCAGTGAGGGTTGCACCAGACCCAAATAATCTCCTGCTCCCTCCTCATTTGGCACACCCCCAGGCCTACACAGCGGCCATTATATGACTTCTTGGTGTTTATTGTTTTCTTTTGCATCCTATCCTACAATTTCATAAGGTAAAACTTTTTTTTTTCACATGTAATGGGGATTTTCCTGCCCATGAGCAGGAAAAGGGCTAAGTAAGCAAAATGTTTAGAATCATCAAATTTCACATACAATAACATAAAACCAAATTTTTCAAATGTATCATTTACTGAACTCTTTCCAAACAGAGAAATATTTACAGAAAAAGTCCAGACTTGATAAAATTTGATTTTTAGCCTGTTCTTTATCATTCACTTTAAAGCTATGTTCACAGGTGGTGGAAAAAGAGTGCATGCTACAATCTTTTACAGAGTGCTATTCAACATGGTATTATATATTTGATATTAGAGTTATCAACTATTCATGTAGGTAACTACACTGCTGATTGAACGACAGCTTGTAATAGAGGAAACTAAGTATCAGATAAAATATAAAGGGATACTGAAAAACCTGTAAACATGCATTTTGAAAGTTCTACAGACAAAAGTATGTTTATTTTTCAATGTGAACTTCACCTTGTGCTCCAACTTGTCAGAGTTTGAGTGAGACTGATGTCAGCAATTCACAGATATATCTTGAGTACAAATACTTTTGTAACACATTTGACTTTTTTGCACAGAACAGGCTTGTACATAGTACTAAAAGCTTGCCACATTTTATGTAGATACACACAGTAAATTCAGAATTATAGTCAATATTCCTTCTCCAATGCATAAATTAATGTAATATAATTGCTTAAACTGAATGTAAAGTATAAAGAACAAGATATGCATATTGTTTCGTAAAATATTTTGATGGTTGGTAATCTGCTTGTCTTTAATGAACATAAAAAAGAAATAACGTAAATTGATCAGCATTTAAACTTTTATTCTTCCTGTAATATATATTAATTCTACATAGTTTATTAAATGAACACGGTATAGAATGAAGAAATATCTATTTATATTTAGCTATATCCCTGAAAAGAAATCACTACAAAGTGACCTATGCATCTGAAAAACACACACACACACACACACACACACATAATATCTAGCTTTCATTCTATACTGGCATTTTAAAAAGGCAATGAGGTACTCATGAAAATTCCAGGAAAGATAAGAATTTGAAGTTTTCTTACCTACTTAGCTTAAAAAATAGGAAACAGTTTAAACTGCTATTCTTACAAGAAGTATACATAAAAAATGCCTATTTTCTCTATTGTTAGAGCAGATGTAAAAAAGACTTTTTCAGTGCCATCCACTTCTAGAAGATTTTTTTTCCTCTCATATATGAATTGTATTGCAAGCCTTTTTAAGCTATTTAACAAATACTTTGTAGTGCAAAATGCAATAAAATACAACAATATAATATGTTATATCTGTATTATGTATAATTATGTGAATAGACTGGAATCAATATATACACACACACACATTCAAAAACAGAGTTAAACTCAACATTAGGAAAATGGCATATAATATGCAGCTCCTACCTTGTTTGTGGAGTGTAATATGATCTTTCACTTGATCCTTGTCCTTCTGAGCTCATCAGAGGCTGAGATACACCTACTCCAGAGCTGACTGTTGTTGAATTTCCAGGAACAACAGGGAACATGGGAATAGGCTGTGGAGGTAGGACGGTGCTGGGAAAGCTAGCAGGTGATGTTGGCAACCCTGAAGGAGGAAGGAATGATTGTTGTGGTGGGGTTGGGGAATTGGATTTTAAGTTAGTGTTAGTAGAAATAGGAGGTTGAGGGGTGATATCAGGGTTGGTTATAACACCTTGAACAGAAGAAGGAACTACAGAGGTAAGGGTATTAGCCGAGAAGACAGATTTCGAACCACAAAAAAAAGAAAAGCAGATTAAATTTTCCTGAAACAAAACCATGTTTCAAACAAAAAAAAAATTTTATTTATCTAAGAAACAGTTTAATGCATTAAATGTAGCATTCTGTAGGCACAATCATAAAACAACCAAGCAACTTCAGACAGGCAACAGTGCAGCTCTGTGCTAATAATGTATGTACAATACCAAAAAAAAGCAGTCCACCTGTATGTGTAACACAATAATCTTGACTTATAATTCATTAAATTCAAGCATTATGTGTGTGTGTTCCACTAAACACCCAAATATAATTACTATTGTCATCATTTAATGATTTTTAAAATCTTGTTCAGCAATAATGTTTTTTAATTATTCTTCTTGAATACAGCATCATCATAAATACCTCCAACTGAAGGTTTGCCAGCATTTAAGACAACAAGTGTAACAAATGTGAGTGTGAGGAATAGCCTGAACTAACCAGGTTTTAAATAAAGGATGTGCTTAACCAGTGTTTGTTCTACTTAGCTACCTGTTTCAGGTCCAAGTTCTTCCTCCGTCTAATAAAAAGTACACGTCATTAGGACATGTATAAATTTAACTTTTTTTAACCCAAAAAGTTAACTTAACTTACTTAATTCAAATTGTATGACTTTATCACATATAACAGTGATATTAGTAATTTATTGAATAACTACATTATACAACAGTACTTAATGTTTTCTTTATTTTTTATTGCTACTCACAATGAAGATTTCATAATCACTTATTGGTGTAAGTGTAACACTAGTTAAGCACCCAATGTAACAAATCCAGATGGTAACAATAATCTACAATGAAATCAAAACCCCTTGGCTTATTGGTTAAGAGCTCTATCAAACCCATCATAATTTAATATCCCTGCAGATGTTCCTATCCTATGCAAAAGTTGTGCCATGTGTATGTTTGTGTGCAAATCTACATATTAAGATATGCACTCAAACAATCCTACCTCTCAACTACCATAACTCTACATATTAAGATACGCACTCAAACATTCCTACCTCTCAACTACCATAACTCTACATATTAAGATACGCACTCAAACATTCCTACCTCTCAACTACCATAACTCTACATATTAAGATACGCACTCAAACATTCCTACCTCTCAACTACCATAACTCTACATATTAAGATACGCACTCAAACATTCCTACCTCTCAACTACTATAACTCTACATATTAAGATACGCACTCAAACATTTCTACCTCTCAACTACCATAACTCTACATATTAAGATACGCACTCAAACATTCCTACCTCTCAACTACCATAGACTTTGGTTAATCATTGAGACAAAGCACAAGTGCTTTTAAACATTACAGCTTTCTGTTGTTTTGTATCTAAAAACATCAAACACACACTTTTACTCAATGTATTTGTCCTCAAAAGTGAAAGTAAATAAATAATGTAAGAATGGAAAAAAAGAATATGCAGTGTAGTGTAATAGAAAGTTCATGAAGCCACACCAGTATAACTAAAATATAAAGTTGTACATTAAAACATAAGTATTTTCATACACTTGGTAAATAAAATAATACACTCATATCTTGATATACACCTATTCTTGTACTGACAAATATAGAAGATTTCTAAGTTTCATTGAGATGAAAGATAACAGAAGCTTATGTCAAAGTATTAAATAGCATTTTCATCTGACAGACAAGAGGTTGTCTGGTAACAGCTGATATCAGCTCATTTAACTCTGTAATTGCCTTGAAATATAAATATATATAAATAGAAAGTAACTTACATGATTGTACAGTTCCCAAACCATCTTCTCCTTTATTATTGACAAATTCAAATGATGATTCTCCATTGGCATCCTCATTCACTTCTTCCATCATTTTAATAACTTGTTCAATCCACTTGACAAAAAAATAAAAATTTACATGAAAATATATAGTATAGCTGCTACACATTTGTACAATGACAAGTTATTGAAGAAGTTTATATAAACAAATGCTTAAAATCACTGTAAATGAAAAAGAATTATATGCTCATAATAATTTGACCAAATAACATTCACTGATATACCTGAAATAATAGTTCTTGAACAACAAAATCATTAGTTAACTTGTAATGGTTCAAGGAATCTAGAAACATTAGTTAATAGTAAAACTTAACTTGAGGTTGCTTCTAGTATTTAAAGGAAACATTATCTGTGTAATAGATGTCCAAAAGCTGAAAAGTGAAAGCTTTTGTTAAGAATTTCAAAATTTTCCCTCTAATGTTAACACTTTTTTTCTTATCTGAAAATATATTTCATATAAATACTCACCTCTCCACACAACAGATAGCTGACACGTCACATGAATCAAGCCTTTCGGCAAAACTCCCATACTAACACTTAACACTTATAACATGTACTCCTCCAGTCTCTAATGCATTAGACTATACTCCTCCACGAAGAATGTGACACATCCACCATGCATAGTACTCCCCTTGAGCATTTTTGTATATTCCAAAAGCTCATTCTTGAACATGGAAAAAGACCTAGGAAGTGAGGAGGAAGGGTGGGTGGTTCTGTGAAGAGGTGTTTACCTGAAATACATATTCAGGTAAGGAATATGTTAACTTCAGAAATGCTACTCAATTCTCCACTGAAATGCCCCCAGTGGCACAGCGGTATGTCTGCAGACTTACAACGCTAGAATCCGGGTTTCGATACCCGTGGTGAGCAGAGCACAGATAGCCCATTGTGCAGCTTTGTGCGTAATTACAAATAAACATCTCCACTAAACAGATAGCTAGAATCCCACATTGAGAAATTGGTGATTGAACAAGTGTATATAAGGAAATTAAAAAAATGAACTCCTTTCCAAGAATGATATGTAGCAACAAAAAAGGAAATCTATTGAAAGTGTGTCATCCACTAGGGGAAACCAAGTGAGAAAGAGCCTCATTCACTGGGACATTGTATCTATCTCAAACAGGAAATACTTTTTGCACAAGTAATAGTAAAGAAAGATACTGCCAAAAGAACTTCCTATGTGTTTTTTACATGTTGCAAAGGTGGGTGGAATGTAAAGGCTGCTTAAAGGCCTGTATATCTCACCAAACCGTGAACATACGGTGTGGTTAGGGCAATAAGTCAAACCATACAGTATATGAAAAATACTTAGAGGAATATACAGGTGAAGAGATGAATCATTCACAGCTGCATAGAGCAAATAACACAAGACCCATCCAGCTGGTCACAACCCCTGGAAATAGTCTGATTCTTAGCATTAGGGAAGGGCTTGTACTACACTTGCAAGTACATACACCTGCCTTACATCTGATTGAGGGGTGTGTCCACCTGGTCTCATAGCTGTAGGTTTACACCAAACCAAAGGGAAACTCTCTATATCAACCGTTTGCTTCCCAGCATCTTAGTACGTGGGACGATTTTGTATATGGAAGAACGCTTGAGTTGGTTGGCCAGGTTTGGGTACAGGGAACCACACTTAATGCTGTTTCTTTCTGTTTCTTTTAGAAATAGCAGTATAACTTTGAAGGTAAATACATAAATTACCAATGCATTCTTGCAGAAAACTCCATTTCAACAGTTGGCATAAAGCTGTGGCAGATGAACTTAACACTTTCTTATCCGCTACTTTATGCAGATTTTGAAATATATATAAACGCTTTTCTATGGAAGCTGCAACAAAAAGAAATAACCAGCAACTGACCTCTTCACAACCTCTGGGAAAGTTGAAGAACAGGAGAATAGCAACTGTAGGGAGAAAATATTCAGAGGCAGAAGAAACCACAATTTGGTGAAAATAATACGATGGGTTGTTCACATCCCCACCTTCAATATCATTCAGGAGATGTTGAAGATCAGAGGCAAAAAAAACTGTACAATAATAAATTTGATGGGAGATATTGTGAAAAAAGTCAAAAGGAGTCATTTCCACAGAGAAATACACAAGCAAGATAAGATGCTTAATCCAACCAGGAGATAACACATGAGAAAAAGAAGAATACCACATCAAAAAAAAAGATGATGTTGATTGCCTTGAAAGGGCAGTAAGAGCAAAATTAAGTCTGCAACCAATCTCAGTAATGGCCACCAATACTGATCCAATCTAAAGAATTTCCCCGTGTTTTTTCAATCCACTTTTCAAGATCAGTTCAGTAAATTTTTTTACCTGTGAAAATGAGCAATACATGCAGGTGCCTCATAATGCATGCCTTCTTGGTTAGTTTAAAGGTTTACAGGAAAATAAATGTTAGAGGAGAAGTTCTTCAACTTCATCTAATATATTATTTTCTATTCCAATGAAAATGTGTCCTTTTTATAGCCTGATAAGTGCATGATTTATTTGAAGACAAGATTTGAAGTTTGACGCATGCCACTAGCATATGTACATTAGGGATATCAAGAAATGCAAAACACACAAATGCAGAGTGTCAAAATCCTATCTTGATATCAGCCAATCTTGGGTACACTGGCACCTATCCAATATTTTAGTCAGGTCACGGGCTTAAACAAAATAACAGCAAACTGCCTGAACAGGACTAAAGAGACAACTGATGTTTGAATGGTAGCACAAAGAAAGAGAAGGAAGGATAATCTGGGAAAAATATCCAATCACCCTCCCAAACAGCCTAAGTCTTGGGGAAGAAGGAGCATTCTAGGAATAAAATCAACTTGTCCCTGTAATAGAAATGCAGAAGACAGCCAAGGCAAAATTATCAGAGTGACACCTTCCAAAAGGAAGGAGAAGAAAATGTGTCTTTACAGAAAGATGGTTCAGAGAATAAATGGTCAAATGTTTGAATGAAGGACATGTAAGAGTCCTAATGACTAAAGTGAGGTTCCAGTCCAGAAGAGGAAGATAACCAATTAGAAAGGTTTGGAAAATGTCCATAAGAACTAGGGAAAGAAAATGAGAACCAGAAAAAAAATGAAAGGTTGTCAACAAAGTCACTCTCTAGCTGGCAATCATAGAAAGGTTAACATTTTCCTAATCTGAAAATGTATTTCCAACAGATACTCACCACTAGCCTTAAGCTAATTCCCACCAAAAATTCATGTGTTTAAAATTAACTTTGCTGGTGAATGATGATGTTATCAGATGACAAAAGCTGTACACAAATAGGAAAGCAACACAACCTCCATGCACAGAAGCTCCTCTCAAGCACTTGAACTTGAAATAATTTCATCCTTAGACAAGGCAAGAAGCAAGTGCACCAGAAGTGTGGAGATCAGGTAGGAATGTGTGAGAGGTGAGTATCTATTGAAAATACATTTTTAGATTAGGAAAATGTTAACTTCTGAGACAATACATCACCTCTCACACAGAATAGCTAGAATCCCATGCTGAATTGGTGGAGGGGCTAGTACAAAATTAAACCTAGATAAGCAACATTTAAAAAGTGCACAGAGAGAAATCCCATATAATGTGAAACCCAACTCATCTCAACCAGGGTATACTCTTTGGCTGGAATGTAAAGGAGGAGAGGCCAATAAGCCCCAAGTGTTGCAGGGATGGGGAGAATGAAAACATGACCATCCTAGCACTTTCACACAAGAGGTCAGTGAATCAATATGTGTAGTGTGGTTAGGGTGCAATCAACTCTACTGGACAGACTCAGGCTACAGAATGAGGACATACCAGCTGTTTGAGGAGTGGCCTGCAATACACTGACAGCACCACCACCCTACTTCTCACAGTATTGTGCTAAGCCCAATAATTGAGGAATTCTCTAAGGTCCACCACTCCAGTGGCTAGAAATTGGAAAGTAGCAAGAAGGGGGAGAAATTGTGTTAGGGAGATCCACAGAAGTGTCCAGATTCCCATCTGATGTTTGCCAGAAAGGTCTTTTACTCGAGATAGTGCAATGGGTGACTAATAAGTCCTATTTTTAAAAGCCACCAAGCAAGAGCCAAAGAGGTGAGCAATAATTTCCCTAGTGTCAGCTTTTTCCATAATAACCCATGGAATAGTACAGTCTGGATCAAGTAGCAGAGTAATTTTTGTATACCACAAGGATACCTCTAGTGGTCATGCAGAACATTCCCTATCAACAGTAGGCACTGGTAGATCCAGGGCAGATAATTTAAGTGCCTTCTCTTATCTCTAGCCTGATGTGAATTTTAGGAATTAAGCATATCCTTAGAGGCAACACCAGCCACCTGGTGGGATCCTGTTAGATAGAAAAAAGAGGGAAAAAGAAAACATACTTACCCATCTTAAAGATAGTGGGCTGAGTTAAGAATGGTAACCAGAGGGAGACAAAATAGCCAGATAATGAGTGACAAATGTGCAGGGAGTTGTCTACATGCCCACCTGAAGGATCTCATCTAAGAGCTGGCAATAAGGAGATGTAAGAGAATGAGACAGGTGATGAATCTCATATGATGAAATATGAAAGAGCCTGTGAGCATCAACACCTAGGGAAGAATACACCAACCACAGGAGTTGACAGACCCATCTAGTAAGGATAGAAGATGAGAAGTTCCTAGATGAAGAGGGATCCCAGGGTAGAAACAAATGATGGCAGGGACCCCAAAGCCAAGTAACACTGAACAGCCTGAACTGGACATTGGGGCCAATCTAAACCAAATGAACATATAAGTGAGATAGAAGGAAGAGAGATGAGAGAGAAAGAATGGTCACCCTGATAAGTAGCTGAAGTCTTAGTGAGAAAGTATCTGGGTAGAGTGGTAAAGAAGTGCAATGGAAAAGAGTGTGAGAAGAATTAACAGCATAGTATAAGAATGACAGTGACCATAGATTAGAAGGAAGAAAGTCTTGAGAGAAAGTTGGTATAAAGAGCAAGAAACAGATGGCTCAAATAGAACATGTGAGAGCGCAACACCACATTATGGTCCCAGTCAGGCATGGGGTCAGTGAAGGAGGATGGATCACAACAG